TGCATTCTGAGCCACACATAAGCAATGGAATGTAACCATTAGATTATAGATACTAGATAGTGTTATTTAAATTCAAGCTGTTTCTATCGATTTTGTTTTGTTTCTGCATATGCAATGAAAAAGGTCTCCAAAAGTACTTTCAGGAAAATATTCAGCATTACGAAACATGATCATCCAAAGTGGCATCATCATCCAAAGAGCTAGGCTACTGACAGAAGTTACAAATTTTATGTGGGTCAGGCAGGTTTTTCAGAGTTTTATGAAAAAGATCATTTAAAATCTAAGCATTCTGAGCAGCCTAATAATATAACTGAAATGCATAAGATAAAGCAGAACCTTGCATACACTTCTTGGAACTTACCATACTTCTCCCATAGTAAACTTTCTTTAATTATATTGGTCTGCTGGATGTTAGGCATAGTTTTTCTCACACAACATCCTGTTCCTAGCTATTCTTAGCTCCTCTCCAGGAATACATGTTGTTAGACTAGTTTATTCACTAGAACACCGAGTCACACTAACTCTGCTGTAGCACAAGTTCTGTTGCAATGTTGAGAGATAATTTTTTTATTTGGCTGAAATCATAAGTACAAAGAGCAAAATGATAACCCGTTTAGTGTTGGACAAGACTGAAAACTTTAATTAAAAAAAAAAGTTTACAGTACTTGCTCTAGCATCAATTTCTTCTCAAGCTCTGCTAACCTGGCTGCCAACTTACTGAAAAGATTCATCCTTTCGTATTGTGGTATGGTCGTCACTCAGAAATTTCTTGGTAGCTACTAAAATTCTCCAGTTTTTAGTTCCTTAACACCAGAATTGTTTAGAAATGTGTGACAGGTATTGACCTACCTAAGAAAATGGTTCATAATAATCTATTCATGATGACTTGGGGAGCACCTTCTCCACAAATAATTGCTGCATTTCTTTCTTTTCCTCACTCAAAAAAAACCAAAGAAAAATCAAGAAAGAAAAATCCACATTGTTAACCGTACAGACAATAAAATAGAGACCTTAAATTCCTTTGCATTTAGTGCAAATCTGCCTTACAACATGTTTGAAATCATGCTCTCTCTGATATCACAGATTCAGTGAATTCCAAACCCCACAATAAAGAAGATATTCTGAGTATCACTGGGAACGAGACGTCTTGTAGAAATTATCGTATAGCATACCAGATGGCATCTTTCTTGCAGACATCACTTCAGTGTGCTGCTTCTATTGCCTTGGAGAAGAAAGAACCAAGTATTGCTATCCCTGTAAGAGACTTATGCGTCAGTTTTCCCATGCAGGAATAGGTACATCTTTTTTGATTGTGGTATCACAGAAGGATTATCATGGGATTTATGTTCTTTGAAATCATAGGAAAGCACAGTAATATGTAAATTTGTTGCAGATGAGACCATCTCATACAGTCTGTATGACATTTTTCAGTGTCAGGACCAGCTTTAGGCATAGGCAAAGTAGGCACTGCCTGCAGCAGCACACTGGTGGGGACTGGCAGTGAATCACATAGACTAGCAAGATGAAGAAATAGCCTTCTAGTCTCAAAGCAATAGCACCTTTTCCAGGTTCCACTTGCACTGGCACAGAAAAAAATGTCCAAGCAGTCCTCTTTAAATAAGTCTCCTGGACTGGCAAAGAATAAGGAGATGTAAAGAGCTGCAAGTTCCCATAATGAAAGACTTGACCCTACTCCCTGCATTCTTGGCTCTGCTCTGTGCTTTCTTTGCCTTTGCCTTACTACTAACTTTGGTGGAAGACAGAGGGGAAAAAAAGTCTTGCAGATAACAGGATACTCTAGCCATGAGATGTTAGTCAGGGATGAGGACAAGGCAGTAAGCTGACTGTATTTCTCCTTATTTTCTTTCCCCTTGCTGAGTGACCTTATGTTGTGTTGATGGGCTCAGATGCAGTTATACTGGCAGGAGGCAGAGTTAGGGGACAGAGTTGGGGGACAGAGTTGGAGGACAGTGTGCAGTGGGTCCAGCAGTGCTATAATCATCCAGTGCTGGGGCCATGGAGATAGTTAGACACAGTACCAACAGCTACATGAGGAAATGTGTCTGGGGAGCCACTCAAAAACTGAATTTTGCCTACACTGTTGCTAGGCATTGAGCCAAGCATTTCTCATCACTGGCAGCACAACTTCCATGCTGTTTATAGTAAGGTAAGGAAGAAGCAGTCTGACCATGAAACTAGTATATTGATTATTGGCTGTGCCTTATTGTGGTCATTTTTGTTGGTGAGGGACACAAGATGCAGAGACATTTGTGTCTATGCATGTATGGGAAATACAAGAGTCAATCATGCATGATCCTTTCAAAGAGTGGTATTATGCTTTGCTAGGTCTCTTTCTGATATCAATTTTTCTGCTTATGAGGGAAAGGGGAAGACAAAGCCAGGAATCCTTTTCAAAGGCATTCATAATTTGTCAGTCAACTATGGAAAATTCAGCAAGGATTTAATTCTCATCTTGTTTAAGGTCATTTTGTTCACAATTTGTTCTCTGAAGAGCTTGCCCAGCCTTTCAAATTTGCTTACCAAAGGGAAGTCCACTATATTTCAACTCAACATATAGCCTACCCCCTCCTTACAGCCTTGCTACTGACTGGACACAATCCTGAGGGGATTATGCTCCATCTATGTACAAAGATTGATTCACAGTAGAAAAAACTCTGCAAAATAGGGAAAATTTACAGACAGGTGTGAACAAATGCCTTTATATCTACATGAGACCTAGTTTCTTATCAATTTGGTATGTCTCCTTTCCCTGAGAAAAAATTAATTATCCGTTAATCTGTTTGAAATACATTTAGTATGCACTATTAGTACACACAAATAGTGCACTATTTGTGCACACTGTACTCTTACCAAAAATAGAAGCTCTATATTGTATATATTCACATACTATTGTTATTAAATACTTGACAAAACTCCTAAAAGTTTATTCAGCAATTACAGATTTACCAGCGCCTCATAAGCTTTCAGTACTTTTTTGAGAGACATAATGAACCTTTCATACTTCATGTAGTAATGTATCAAATCGGTAAGAAGACCTGGAGTAATGTAAGATCTCATAATAGATCTGTCTTAGGCAACTTTCCAACCTCATGAAAATCTTCTATGGCTCAACTAAAATTATTCTACCAAATCATTATGGACTTCAGTTTGCATGAGGTGTTCCACAAATCCAAGCAGCAATATCAGGATGAAAGGTCATCCAGTTTTAGTCCAAGGACTAGTAAGGTTGGAGTTGAAACTCTTATAATATTGTTAATTTTAAATATGCAGCTAAGTTTAGAGTCTGCTCTGCGACTCTGCAGGGAGCCTCCGCATGTCACTTGCAGAGGCTTTATATTATAAGGTGTCAGTCAGACGGTAGGTTTGGATTTCCGTGAAACAGTTTTCTGCCATAGTATCATCAATCCCAAATGATGGCCATGACAGATACCTATAATTTCCTTATGCCTGGAATTAATTTCCTCCTTAGAGATGGTCATTGCTTGAGATGCACAATGGACAAGAAAAACAAAGAAAAGTAATTAATGTGTTCAATAAATTAAGTTCTACTGAACAGGATTCTTCTCAGAATCGTGCCCTGAATATACCCATTTTCTGCCTTTTTTGCTAAGTTCTTTGATCCTGTTATGAAAAGCAAAACTTTAGTAAACATTCATCTTGGAACAAAGGTGTAAAATATTTCCATCTTGAGAGAAACTGTCTCAAAATTGAACATTAATGGGAAATACATCACAAGGTACTTGGTTTCTTGTGCAGAAAATGAACTTTCATTTTAAATTCATCATCTTTCATTAAATTTTTTCCAGTTATGTTTGATAAAATATACATCGTCTCTAGAAATCATGTAAATCTTATATGTCTGCCTGCTATCTTTCACATTTTTGTAAGAAAAGTATATAAACTTAAAATTTTATTTAGTAAAAATATTCTTTTAATTATTCATTTGAAATGGTGACCTTTTCAAGTAAAATTATTATATCTTGGCATGAAGGTTTTCTTGTGTCTTATAGTATTTTACGGTTGAAGAAATCATGCAGATAATCTAATTACTTTGACTAAAATTGTTGTGCCATTTATGTCTTTTGCTGTACTACAGGAGAGAAACTGTGAAATGTATTCATTATCAATTCATTAAAGGGTTTTGCTATTATATAAGCAGAGATGCAGACCACTACCTATCTTGTATTAAAAGGGGAAAGAGGAAGGCATAATTAAACCACGCCATGGCTATGGTTTATGTATTGCATTACTTAATGTCTTGTGAAACACAAAAATCTACAACAAACAGATATGTAAAGCGTAACTGGTATGAAGATTCTATTCAGATTTAAGTGCTCTAGGTTGCTTTTGAATCTTGCTATTTTCTGCATTTGTTTTGACTGCTCTCATCATTCAAGATTGACGCTTGGATGGGTGTGTAGGAGGAAGCAGCAGCAGCAGGCTTACAGCTTGCAGACAAAAAAAAAATCTGCCTTATCTGATGGCTATTATTGAAAATGCGAGGTGTAGCCTAGGCTGGGTAATGAAGGGGAGAGAGCGAGGGGGAGCAAGAAGCATGGAGCTGCATACTGATGAGTGTAGGAGTACTTGATAAAAAGAATTCTTGCTGCTGGCAGTGCATTGCTCATTGTGGAGTATTCCAACAATCACATATAACGGAGAACAGCTTAGCTGACAGCTTGATATGCTTTTTTTTTTTTCCCCCTACTGTATGACGTACTGGTCTGTAGTAAAGATTAATAACTAAGAAATGTAGAGCTAGGATCAGATCTTACGCTACATACTGCCCTGTAAACTATGTTTTACTTCTGACTTTTCTGCTTGCTGAAAACATTAATCTGTCAAGCTGGCGGGCTCCTTTGATACCAACTTTCCCAGGAACACGATGTGGCAATGCCACCTCTCAGCCCAGGACTACCGCTATTATCCAGTGGATGGTTATTCGTTGCTTAAACGCCTCCCTCTTCACCCTCCTACAGGACCCCGATGCCCTGTCCAGACAGTGGGACAATGGTTGGAAAATATTGGGCTACCTCAATATGAAAACCACTTGCTGGCTAATGGATTTGACAATGTGCAATTTATGGTAAGAAATCTTCTGTGCATAGCTGTGTATATACACTGTAGCTGCCTTTTTTGTCTGTCTCTTATGTGCTCATAAATACCTTAGAGCTATTCTGCATTGCACTAAGAAGATCTGTTTAGTGTTTCACTTTTCTATGTCTAGCTAAATTAATATAGAAACTGTCCTTGTGTAAACTTCCAAATTGTACCCGTTACAAAATAGTCTCGCCAGAAATATGGTAAAAGAAAAACTGAATATTAAGGTTCTCTCTGCCCCTTATCAATCTTCAGATTAAAAAGAAAAAAGCACTGTTCTTTTAATCCATTGCAGTATTTTCATAGTATGTAAAAGCTGTAAACACCCCTACCTGCAATACATCATGTTATTACTTTTATTTAAACATTAACATCATTGTAATAATAATTAAATAGCATGCAATGCCATTCTTGCATTGAGAAGTGTTTTAATACCAGAAAATTATTTTTAATGAAGTGTGCTCTCTCTGTAAGTGATTCTGGATGCCTCAGTTACATGTTTTTGCATCTTAGATAATCAGGCTATGGGATTCACTTGTTGAAACTTATGCCCGCTGTGGAAAAGTAATGCATTCCTTTTAATTGTTCCATTTTCATGTTTTAAGTCTAGGCATTTATCAGGAACATAGGAATGAAATCATATTTGATGTACTTCAGAATTTACAGTGTTACCATCTGGTGTAAAGTAACACAGACCTGTCATGCACAAACTTTCAACTGAAATTAATATTGACAGTAAAGAGAGAAGCTTACTCGTAGGGTTGTTATATAATCACTTTTCTACCTGCTTCAGTATTTCCATTACTTCAACCTCTTGCAAAAACCCTGACCACATTTCTTATATACTTAAAATATTATTATTCAGACCTTTTCTAAGATATTTTTAGTAACCATGTATATCGTGGAACAGTTCTAACTTTTCATAACTTGCACCTGGCATATAAGAAACAGAAGAGAACATTATGACTATAAAATCATCATGAGTTGTGTTTTTCCTATTTAATTTCTTTTGCCAACATCATTATATGCCTATGGCTTACTGATCAGAAAATTAAGGCACAGATCTCTTCCATTTACACATTATAATAGTGTTTTATAGATAAAGAGGTTTCTTACTGTTTTTACATGGCTACCATGTGATTTTTTGCTTATATCAGTACAAATCTTTAGAATCTTTACTTTTAAATATTCTTGCAAACAAAGCTGCAAGGGTGTGCTGTCAGCCCAGCAATGTAAAAAAAAAAAAAAAAAAAAAATCTAAAATGCATTTCAAGCTACAGTTTCCCAAAATGTAACCACATATTCTTATATATGTTATAGCATTAGTTACATAAGTAGACGATCGTTTAGTCTTAAAGAGATTACAGAGGGAAATTGTTCACAAGAGGCTGTAGGTGGCATAAAAAATGCAGAGGGGTGCACCTACCACAGGTAAATGATGAGCACTGGAGAAGCCAAAGAAACTGCCCTGGAGGGCTTTCCAGTCGTCCCCTGGCTCTGGAAGGGCCTGAACCCCATTCTGGGGGAATTTATAAGACTTTCATTTCCTACATCTCTCATTAGTATACTTAGTAAACATACAAATTGCATGCAAGATTCTGTTCTTCAATACACAAATGAAACTTTTCAGGTATCAGGCAGATTAAGTTATACCTGCATACTTGTGTGTAAGCTAATGTCTTCCAGTCATTTTAATTTAAGCCTTTTCCAAAGTGGTTTGTTTTTAAATATATATCGCAGGTAAAATACATAATTACTGTTAATATTGGTTAGGCTAGCATGCATATGTGAATGGAAGATTAGACTCTTAAATCCAATGATAAGCAAAAAGCTGGAAAATTGCCTAGTAATAAAAAAATCTATATTTTCAATAATTCAATAATTCCTAATTTACTGATTTCACACTGTTCATCATGCTGTTACGTATTTCAGTTTTTGTTTGTACCAGAAATTGAATAGTTCCCGTATTTTATTGGAGATGAAAATTACCAAAACCCACTAATTTTTTCATATATTATTCTTTTGAATATATCATCATTATGTAAGGAAAGCCTCTCCTGAAAAACTGAATGAGTGTTTTTTAAAATATTTTCCATTCTAGCCAAAATGTTAAAGAGAAAATTAAACTTGGAAAGTATATAGGAAAATGGGAGAAGAAAGACCTGCTATGCTAAGAGAAAAATTCAGATTACTCCAAACTTAAATGTATTGTAGTCTTCCTTAATATGAGAGAACTGCTTTACCTTTATTGAATTAGTTTACATATTAAGCTATATTTTGCAAGCTCATTAAATTGTTTCAGGTAGGTTAACTACTGTACAGTGAACAACTCTAATACCTCAATGCAGTAAAAATTTGTCATATTTGTTCTTTAGTCTGTACCATATTCCTGCTTTTGTTTTTCTGGAAGCACATTCTGACCTGCATTTATTCATTCTGTTGCCTAAGCAACAACCATCACACTCCTATTAAGTATGATTTAGTAGTACAGGTCTTACTAGATCTTCAGAACAGAAGACGGAATATCACAATGATATAATTAATGTCCATGGAATAACATACATCTAAGAACAAATATATCCTATTTATACTACTCTCAACAGCAAAATTCTATTAATTAAATTGGCATTCTAATAAGAAAGTGTTTTTCAGATAAAAAGATTTCATGGTTAATCATTTATGTTAAATCACAGAAATTAACCCCTTGTGTTTAGTCCCCCTTGGGCATTAGGAAAGTTTTTCACTAGACTGTGTTCAGAATTAGGAAGATTTGTTTATGTTACCTGAAGTGTGTGGACTTTATAGTAAGAAACAGCCTGTTTCCTATTAACTTTACAGTATGAACATTTTTTCCATAGTTCATCAATATATATGTTTCAAAAATAGGTTGAAACGTAGTATTAAAAAAATCAGTTGTGTTTTCATGAACTACTTTATTTCTACTTACGGTGTATTTGCACACATAGCAAATGCAATTCCTACCTACTATTAGTGTTGTGCAGGAATGACATTTGCATAATATTTAGTAGGCCCAAAGCAGATTCAGTCCTAAGACTTAGTTCATATGTGCTTGTAGGAGTAGAATCATACTTGAATATGTGTATGTGTATATGCAGTCATTATTAACTTTGCTAATTTGTTGTGTAATAGGCTGCAGTGTCCTTCAGATGTAAAAATTTGTGGTGACTTTGTGCAGAGATACTCTATATTTGAAGATGCAAATGATACTGCAGTTTCATAACGTAAAAGCTATTTTGCAGTTAAACTAATTCTAAAGTGCAAGAAAACAATTAGATCAGTCGTAAGTTGCAGTATATAAACTAGATATAAACAATAAGGAAACCTAATGAATCCATGAACACCTTTTGATGCATAGGTCCCACGGGTACACCTGGGACAAACTATAATCTTTATGCAGACTTGCAGGCCTACGTAACTCGGTGTGATGAGAAAAAAAGCTATACTGCAGAGAAAACAGATGAAAATATACAAATGTGCGAGGTCACTGGATCCTTGCATGCAGCTTTCTACAGCTCTGGAGCTTCATCAGAGATTCCATTCTGGATTCACAGAGATAAAAGCAGTTCAATCAAATCACTGCCCAGTGGGGACTAGTTCTGATTAAGGACTGCATATGACTATCTATTTATAGGTTGTTTTAATCATTTAAGACATTCTGAGATTTTATCACTTGCTTAATATTGCTATTTGATTAAGAGAGTACCTCTTCAAAAGTTTTATAAAACACTTTATGAGGGAAACAGGGACCAGGCAACCAAAACGAGTTAACAGAAAACTATGAAGCATTTTATTATTTTTTTTTACATTCCAAAATCTTGTTCACTAGTAACATTAATAACCTGAATTGGTATTAGACACTGGACTTTCATTGCTTACATTGCTTACAGACATCTCCACCCCTTCAAGTACTTCAATGGCTTGCATTCCCTGAGTATCTTAGTATTGCCTAAGTATTTTTTTTTGATTCTCTCTCTTTCACTAGTGGGAAACTGAGGCGAAAACTGTTTACGCTTTGAGATAAGAGAGACTAGTTCTTAAAATAGCTACTAACATAATGTTTAACAGACCAATTCAGTTGCTTAAACATAGGTATCTAGTACCAACTGAGACACTTCAGGGAATCCAAGAGATCCAGACAGGGCTGACAGATATTACTAAGGACCAGAGACAGACAGACACCCTTCAGATTAGCAGCTGGAATCCAGGTGGGATACCACCGCCCATCTCAGATGGCTTGAGTCCTGATGTTTATGCAGCTGAAATGAATCTTAAGTGTTGTAGATCACGCAGAGCTTGTGACATGTCTAGCAACTCAATAGAAATGTCTTGAGTTTCCACCTGGTATCTTAGCTGCATATGCATTTCTCTTGCTTGTAATAATGTTCTGTATTTTTATTCATCCTTTGAACTTAGCTGCATGAGTATTTACCTCGTTTCACAGTGCTAGGCATGAACTACCTTCTCAATTCCCCTTAGCTGCCTGTTTTGGATTTAGTTTTGAGTTAAGTTTTGACTTTTCTTTCTCCTTTCCTCTGTCTCTTCCTTTCTTTGTTTCTTTTCTTTCATTTTTTACTAGGTCTGGAGGTTTATTAGTCAGCTGAAGTTTATCTGGATGCTCTCCTCTCTCAGGTGTCATTCCTGGGATTTGCTGTCCTGGAATACCTTGTAATTCTTCTTGCCTTTAATCTCTCTGGAGGACCTTAAACTCTGTATCAAGTATAAAGGACAGAAGCAATTTTATTTCTTTACAGTGAAATGCACCTGAAAAAAAATTTTTTACGTGCATTGTCACCAAGACCGGCACTTCTAGAGACCACCACAGCTTTTATCCAAAAATACCTGGTGCAGAGATTGATCATTTGGGCATTAGCTGAAAGCTTGAAAGAGTCAGTTTGCCACCACCTTTCTTACATTAGCCATGCTACAGATGATGAAAAAAAGGCCAATGTTTGACAAGGGTCTGTA